CTTTCCCTCAGCCGCTGACATTGTTTCGAATTCTCAGAAAACGTTGCATAACTTTACCGTCAGTCCTCATTTATTCAGGCATAAATGGAACTGAAGTCACAGATGCGCATCCTCAGGATCACAAAGTTTCCTCTGCCAAAAGTGGGACAACGCCATATTTAGTTATTAGAAAAACTAACAGCTATTTTGTCTGTCAATTAGTGCGTCTGTGCTAAGCTCATATTCGAAGCATATTTATCATAGATCTTTTCTTTTGATGGTGCTCTTAGGGGCAGTAATTAGCTCTTTGTGCTTAGGTAATGGTATGGGACTCTTGGCTCTTGGCTATTCACAAGCAGATTGCTAATGGAGGCGCGTTTGTATCCACTCCCATCATTCCTTCATCAGTCACCCACCCCTTTCATTTAAAACACTCTAGCAAATGCTCTGAGACACACACACACACACACACAGATTTTAAAGGGTCTGGTAAAAATCCACCACACCCACCCTTTATGTCTTCAGAGCGTTTGTATGGGTGTTGTTTTTCTTTTTTTCCTTAAAATGTGTCATTTTATATACGTGTGTGTGTGTGTTAGACTGTGAGAAATGGGTCCACTGGGACATTGGTAGCATGGTAGCAAATGCACGACTAATGAGTGAATAATGAGTGTATGTTTGTGTTTTGCAGCATGTGTGTGTGTGTGTGTGCAGCCATGGTCACATGCCTCCATGCATGTGTGTGTGTTTGTGTGTGTGTATGTAACAGACTGTGTGGCGCTCCTCCTGCTCGGGGTATTGGAGTTAAAAGGGAAGTCTTCAGGCTAAGTGGTGGTGAGCACTGCCTCACACTGAATAGATCAAATGAAGTCGCTGTGTGTGTGTGTGCGTGTGTGTGTTTGTCAGATTTAGAGAAGTGGGGCTGGTTTGGGGGTAGGGGGCAGCTTGTATTGACAGGAGGTTGTGTTGCAGGCGCATCTGAAACCTGAGCTGATACCAGAGGACAGTCACAGCATCCTGTCCTCGCTTTCATCAGCTGTGTGAGTGTGTGTCCCCTCTGGTCTGTCTCAGTTTGTCCTTCATTTATTAAGGTCCCATTTATAACTCCGAGGGAACCTTTTTTATTGACTCTCTGTTTTGTGATACATCCCTAAAATAGGAGACCGCATAAAAAAATCAAACAAAGGCACCTTGATACTCACTGGTGGCTTTTCTCATTATGACAGAGACGACAACTTCAGAACCAAAACCTCACATAACACAATGATAGTGACAGGAAACAGTTTAAAGCTGCACTCGTTCATATTTTTATATTAACGATGGATCAGAAGACAACGAGTTAACTCTAAACTCTGCTCCCGTCAGCTCTGTGAAACACTTAAGTGTCGTTCAGCTCCTTGTTGTGGTTTTATTGCAGTCGTTTTTACGGTTATGGTTCAGTGTCACTCCTTCATCAACCTTGTTTTCAGTGAAAACGCTAAACATCAGAAAGGCAAAGTTAGCAACCAGCTGGTAGATATAGTGGGATATTTATTATCCTAGTTGTTGGTAGAGCCCAAAAGCAGAGCTAAAAGCAAAGTGAACACTAGATGACATTTTGAGAGGGCGTGAACAAAACCCCATGTTAATGCTAGTTTAAAGTTTGGTTGTTTAGCTGAAACAACTTTGATATCTTAATTATTTGTCTACAGATTGCTTCAATCCTCACAAGGGGCCAAAACAAATAAACAACAAAAGCAGCAAAAACACAAACTGAAAAAATTGAATCGATTACTGCAGCGTTAAATGCAATATGATGACATTTGCAGCATCACTATACTATACTATACTATACTAATGCAGTAATAGTTAGTATCATTAATAATTTAGTTTTTAGTAGCAACCAGCCCTGAAAAATGAAGGCAACCTGGAAGTGTCAAAAACCTACGTCCGCTAGCTGCTGGCTCCAAAAAGCCCTGGCTCCCATAGACTTGAATTGGCAAAGAAGTGATCACAGATCACGAAATACTGCATTCCTACAGCTCAGGATTTTTTTCTTATTAGTTTTCATAGTCAAATTCAGACATCAGGTGGCCAATGTGAAAATAAACCAATACTGAATTTTTAAAAAATCTTCAAAATTTTGCGGGGCAAGGGGTGTGGCTGGCTTGCGACGATACAGACGAAGCCAGCAGAAGGCGGTAAATGTGGGCGGGCAGAGAGGGCCTGCCTCTCAATCCGTCTGACCAATCGCTGCTCCTATGGCTCCGCCCCCCTCGACGATTTTTGCGTCGCTGGCTCCAAAAATCCAAGATGTCAACCAGGAAGTAGCAAAACCCTGGCTTCATTTTCTCAGTGCAGAAAACAACGGGTGATGTCACGGTAGCTACGTCCATCTGTTATACAGTCTATGTTTAGACACAACATTAAAACTGCTGACAGGTGAGGTGAATGGCATTGATCATCTCATTACACTTTCACCTGGAAAGGCAGCAAGTAAACACTAACTTCCTTGAAGCTGATGTGTTTGATGTAAGAAAAATGGGCAACATAAAGATTGGAACAACTTTAACATGGGACAAATTGTGATGGCCACATGACTGGGTCAGAGCATCTCCAAAATCATAAGTCTTGTGAGGTGTTCCTGGAATGCACTGGTTAGAATCTACCAAAAGTTGTCCAAGGAAGGACAACTGGTGAACCAGCACCAGGGTCCTGTTCTTCCAAGACTCACTGATGCATGTGGGAAGCGAAGGCTGGCCTGCATGCTCTGATCCCACAGAAGATTAACTGTAACTGATAAAAATCCCAATGCTGCTATGATGCATCACAGCTGGCTGACTGGTCAGAGTGCCCATGTTGACCCTCGTTCTCCGCCAAAAGTTCCTACAGTGGGCACAAGGGCCAGAACTGGTAGCAGTTGAAGAGGGCAGCATGCTCTGATGAGTCACATTTTATTTTCCATCATGTGGACGGTTGTGTTTTTGTGTGTCGTTTACCGTGCAAGAGATGGCAGCAGGACGCACTGTGGGAAGAAAGCGGGAATCTGAGCAAAAATCTGCTGCGACACCTTGTATTCATGTTGATTCTACCTTGACACCTACCAACTGCCTAAACGTTATTGTGGATCATGTAAGCCCTATCGAAGGAACATTATTGTCTGGCTACAACACTGAAGACTGGATCAGGTCCAGTGTAGACCTTGGTTTGAGGAACATGACAAAGAGATAAAGGTATTGACCTCCAAATTTCCCAAAACTCTGTTTGATCGAGCATCTGTTGGATGTGCTGTAAAAAGACGTCTGATCCATGGAGGCCCTCCTTCACAGCTTAGGACTTACCACCTGATACCACAAAACACCTTCAGAGGTCTGTGGAGTCACAGCCTCAATGGGTCAGCGCTGTTTTGACAGTATGAGGGGGACCTACACAATGTTAGCGAACAATATTTGTTTATATCTGCAAGTTTTGCTAATCAAATCTGATATAAACCCATATTCACTGAAACCCTGCTTTTCCTTTATTTGCCCATTTACTGGAAATTATGTGCATGTTGATTTCAGTAACAATTTAGATTTTTCTGTGCTGCTTTCTTTTCCAAATTTGAATGTTTTTTTTCAGCCATTTTAGAAAACCAGTGATTACCATTCATACATGGATGAAAGCAATGCATAACGAGTAGCAATTACCTTCCATTAGGGAACGCTTGAATTTTTGTTTTATAAATGGTAACCAATGAGAACAGTCAATAAACTACATGCGATAATCTAGAACTGTATGCAATGCATTTGAAAACAGTCATCAGAAATACAGTAGAAAGTGCAGACGATTTGTGGCTAAAGCAAAATACAGCTCTTTAAACTGCAGTTTAACCAAGCCGGCATGCTGACTCAGAGCTGCATGCGACCACGCCGCTGAGGCTGTGTGTGTGTTTGGTCAGTCAGTCAGGTGTGTGGCAGGTGTGTTGGCAGATGTCCCTGAGTCCCTGGATAGTCCTGTGGGGCCTCTGGAGTCATTTATCTCTAAATGAGTCCCATCTGCTGGGCTTCTGGCGTGGAGGTGGAGGTGAACAGAGCGAGGCACATTCAATGAAAGACTCCAGTGTTTGTGTAGTGCTGCTGTCACCTGGCTGTTTGTCTGCATCGCTGCGGATCTACTGTATGGACACGCTGTCACTGCTCATGCTGTCATAGTATGGTGTTTGTTGAAGTGACTAACAGGGTGTGAGGTCAGAAGAGGGTGTGATTACTGTACGCTCTGATATGACATGGCAGGGCAATCACAGTTTACGCAACTTTTCAGGAAAACATGTATGTAGTTTTAACCTGAACCAATTTAGCTCTGCACCCACTCATGATTAGCTGTTTTAAAGCTAAGCTAATCGCTAATACTTCATCTTTTCGGAAAAGGCAAATGTTTAAATTATTTTCAAGAGTTAGATGAAAAGATTGATACCACTCTTACATTTGTTTTGTTAAATTTGGAATCAGGAAATGGTTAGCTTAGCTTAGCATAACAGCTGGAGATAGCTACACAAGATGTGTTAATTCGTGATCTTTAGAGGTGTGGTTGGGCAGAAGTTTTAGCATTCAACATGAGTCTTTATGCTACCAGTCAGCTAAGCTCAGCGTCCATGTTTGAAGTATCAGAAAGATATTCTTTCAGAAAGTGGACAAGAGTGTACAAAAATGATGAACTGATCCTTTAAAGTTAGATTAAGCACATTATATCTAGTATGCGTCCATGTGACCCATTAAACATGGGTTATTTTCTAGATGGATCGTGTTTTATTTTATACCAATGTTAGTTTATTGTATTTAGGATTTTACCTACTATAGATCCTAAATGAAATAAAGTTTCTTTTCTGAAATTAAAAGAAGAGCTTGATACCTGAAGATAAGACATATGCCAAATCGATTTTAACTCCCTTAAAATATGTATTTTTTGGTTGTTTGCCCTATAATCTGTCTATTTCATCTATATTTATTTCTGCCTGGACATCATATCAGCTAAAAATAAAATTCTTTTTCCTGCACTTCCAGAAGTATGATGCCCAAAGCCCTGGACGGACAGATTGTTATGGAGAAGACGCCTCGGTATTTTGTTACCGTGGAAACACCAGCACGAGTCCACGCCATGTCGCAGGATGTCAAGCTGATTGTGGTCGTCCGAGACCCCGTGACCCGAGCCATATCTGACTACACACAGATTATCTCTAAGACTCCTGACATCCCTCCCTTTGAGAGCCTAGCCTTCAAGAACCGCACTACAGGTACACTGAGTCTGTTGTTTGAGCTCCGCTTTCCTTTGGCTTTTTTCACTCACCAGACCCTTGGCTTGCTTTCAGCTTCCTCAACCTGTTTGTTAACAATTATATCTTCCTCTGTCATTCATTGTATGTTCATGCAGCAACTTCCACTTGTCCACAAATGGAAGATGTGATTAACAAATACATGAATAGAAACGTGTATCTATTTACAACTACATTACAGTGCTTTGTAAACTCTTCATTAAAGGTTAAATGCTGCTAATAAGTGTCAAAACATTATGACCACTCCTACTGTTGGTCCTTCACATGCTGCCAAAACAGCTCCAATTCAACTAGACATGTAGTCTGCAAGACCTGTGAAGGCGTCTTGTGCCATATGGCTCCAAGATGTTAGCTGAACATCTTTAATATCCTGTAAGTTGTGAGTCACCCTGGTGCAGATTTGTCCAAGTAATTCCACCCTTCACCCAACACCGGTTCAGGGTTGAGCTTTCCTCAGATCACTGTTGGTGGACACTCATCACTGGTGACTGGGAGCACCCCATAAACCTTGCTGTAGTCTGGACATAATGAACTGGTTCTAATAAAACTTTTGTATTTCTGACACTGTTCCCTTTTTCCAGGCCTTGAGTTATGACAGTTGTTGTTGTTGTTATGAGATAGTCAGCTTTCATCTTCAGTGGTCATAATGTTTTGGCAGGCGGATTCTGTCAACTCCAAATTTCGAAGAAATCATGAACTTTGCTCTGCTGTAACTTTGTCTCTAGGTCAGATCGACTCTCTGTGGAGCCCGCTGTGGATCGGCCTGTATGCCCAGCACATGGAGCGCTGGCTGGCCTGGTTCCCCAGGACTCAGATCCATCTGGTCAGCGGAGAGAAGCTCATCTCAGACCCAGCCGGAGAACTGGGCAAAGTCCAGGACTTTCTGGGCCTCCAGAGAATTGTCACGGACAAGCACTTCTACTTCAACAAAACGAAAGGCTTCCCCTGCCTGAAGAAGCCGGAGGGCAGCAGTAAGCCTCACTGCCTGGGGAAGACGAAAGGGAGGACGCACGCCTCCATAGACCCGGAGGTGATGCAGAGACTGAGGGATTTCTACAAGCCACACAACCAGCGCTTCTATCAGATGGCAGGGCAGGACTTTGGATGGCAGTGACTCTTTGATTTTGCGGAACTAAAGGATTTTGTTGGCACTGCTTTTTTAGAAGCCTATGCAAATCTGCCGTCTGATTGAGACAGATGCAACGACTCAGAGTGCAGAAAAGAGAGCCAATTATCTGCTACTGACCAGCAGAGCAGCATCTCAGAGACTTGATGATGAAACCCCAGTGTCAATACAATTCAACTCTACCAATCCATCACCCCGTTTAAGTGTTTCAAAGTCAGCCATGTCATTTTATATACCATAGATGTTCAGTCCTGGTGGTTAAATAAAGCATTCCTGTGCAAAGGTGGTCATGAGACTGTGGTTGCTATGGGTTGCAGCTGTGTAAATGTTGAACAGTGAAAACACAATGTAGCTTTTAGTGTTGCTGGTCTGCAGTTTAATCCTGATGCTCAGTAGGCTGTAGAGGCACAAGGAACTCAAGAACCGACGCATTTTCACATTTCAGAATTTCCATAACTTTCTTTTTCTACCTGTTTGCTCAGCAGTCTCACTGGTTAAGAATTTAAGGGCAATCAATGCATACATATTGAGTACCGACCTCCAAGCACTGTTTCTGAAGAACGGGGGGATGAATCTTTTATGTGGCAGAGGAAAAGAGGGGTGAGCGAGAGAATCTTGAGCTCAGATTTGACTGAGTGGTTTTGTATTCTTGAATAATGAATGTGGATAAATGGATGTAGGGGAACTGATGTGGATCACTTGCCTTTTGGCACATTTATGTGTTGGGCTTAGGTTAGCATCCCATTGCAAAACCAGCCTACTGTGCTGTACCTTGAGGGGAGTAAAGAGACCACTGGAGGACAACCGAAACAAGACCAGGTCAAATCAATGCAAGGATGTTCGACCTATCAATGACCATTTCAGTGGACGTGATGTACGAAGTGTTCCTGCTTCTGCTTACAGGGTTGTCTGTTTTCAGTTTGCATGTATTTGCACTAGTTTGAAAGCATAAAAAAATAAAACTATTTTTAAGCAAAGACATTTCTTTCTCACCGTTCTTTTCGCTCACTGTTGGCTGTTGTTATAAGCCCTTACTGAGCCTTAATGAGAAAGCGTCGGATTTATGTTGAATGTTGAATGACATTAGTGCAATTGCTTTGCAAATGTAAATCTGTTTACGTCACAGATGTGGGGGCTACAAACTGCCTCGCCGATAAGATGCAAAGAGTCTGGTGGTCCCTGTAATAATGTGAATAATGACTTCAATGTCGTGACATTGTTCAGTTTGGTTGTTCTGTTGGATTGTATGGGTGACTGAGTTCAAGATGATGAGTAAATAAAACATTTCCCTGTATGTGTGCATGTGTATGAGTTGAAGATTTGATTCAGAAATGCTCTTGTTGCATTGCCATCGTTGCCAGTATCACGCTAAGGCAACACTGCCACCATGTGGACAACAAAGGGAAAACACCATCGGAAAACATGGTAAAAACAAGGTCTTTATTATGATATATGCTCCTCACTTAGCTTTAAATTTAAACTTCTCATAGAAATAGTTTTATTCATATTAATATACTAGGTTGCAAATGAATATTCACAAAAAATGTAACTAAGGAACACTACACAAAAAATGCCACTGTAAATAAGTCATGACAAACACATAAGGACACAACAATCCATGCTTCAGCATATAGTGCAACCCAGGGAGGTGTAATAGAATTTAAACTCAAGCAGAATAAATTGATAAGTCTTTGACATTACATTTCACTTTGAATTGAACAAATAAATAAAATACACAAATATATATTTTCAAATGCACTTAAAATGACTGTAAATAACAATTCTGGTCTGTGTCTTTCTATAAATACAAGAAAAGTACCCCATTATCAAGTAAATACTAACACAGAGAGCATCGAAAGAGGCGTGCTCCTCTGATGAGTTTTGGCAGTTTGCACAGACAGCTACATATTTCCTCTAAAGCAGGTATTAGTTGGAGAAACAGCGTTGCCCTTTGTTAAGATGTCTTGAGCACAGAACATGCTGTGCGATCGGAGGCATGCTGCTGGAAGTAAAGGCACTCAGTGTGGCCTATAGGCATCCTCCACCCATTTAACTGTTGTCCTTTATGCTTTCCATATGAGGTTCCTCTGTGGGTAAAGGAGCAAAATCTTCAGGTCCACCCTGTGTTGCTACAATCCCTTGATCCTCAGTCTGCTTCTTCACATAAACTCTGAGTTCTGTTGTCGTACAGAAAAGCGAGTTGTGTTTTAAACTACTTATCTCTATTTGGTGTATATGTCGGTTATGATGCAGTGTATCATTAGTCTAAAGTACAGTGTCAGTACTATATGCCAATCAGTGTGTGGGCCTTTTTTCCTTTTTTATCACTGGACTGTTCATCACTGTGTATCTATAGCAACTTGCAATTTGTTTCTCAGCTTGACTCTCTCTTTGACTTACAGGATTGAAGCAGTGACCCTTCTCAGCACTATTGCTTTTGCAGAGGTATACTGTACATCTAATCTGACACCTGCAGAACCAATATGGTGGACTCAGGTGGTTCAGAACTAGACCTTTAATGTGCTACATGTAGCATTTGAGCATCAAGGTAGCCAGAAGTACTTTACTTTTTGCACACAACTTATCCTGGTTTCAGAAAACACGGATAAAACTTTATCCTAGTTTTGTTTTTTGTTTTTACTTTCTTGGTTGTAACGGAACACATCGTCGCTGAGATGGGGAGAAATCAAGACTGGACAGAGATGACCAGAAACCTGGATGCTGATAGAGTTATGTATATGCCATATCCTGAATGTTATCAAAACCAGCACAAGACTCAAAACTGAGATACTAATTTTTATGTAAACACAACCAATTGAGACATTAGTATAGTTACTGTAAACAACTGAGACCACTGATGAGGGAACTGTGAACCTTCATCAATTTACATTAGTGTGACTGGCTTTGGTGGAAAACGTGTTGGATTGCTTTACAACAGCAACAACAGAGGACTTAGATAAGAAATATGATGAAATACTGTGGTGATTCTTTTTTAGTTTTGTTGCTTGGTTTAGTTTCCATAATGCCTTAGCAATAGGCTTAAGGTTATACTATTACTATAAAATAGCCAAACTGAAAAAAAAAAAAAAAGTAGTCAACGCCCTTTGGCATAGTGGACACCACAAAGCATTTGCTAGCTAGCCTAGCTAGCTTACATGTTGCTAGCTAACTTGCCAGTATAAGTAAAACCCAGAAACACTGCATGTTTAAAAGATCTAGAGAGATTCTTTGGAAGAAGTTAGAAGTGAATTTATACCCTAATCTAGTTGTAGTGCATCAACTAGTCAACATCAGCCAGTTGATTCAGAAAATTGGCCAAAAGGTTGCAGCTCTGAATCAGTGTGGATGATGAAGCATGTTACACAGCCCTAATTTTATTCAATTTATCAAAGATTACATCTTAAAAACAAGATTTCAGGCTGCTGACGTTCCCTCATCGTCCAAATGACGGTGTCATGACAGTGTCCATTATGGTTGATACTGCATTGGTTTTTGCTAAAGAGTAAGCCTAACCGGGAAATACAGTTTCTGCTTTAAAGCTACACTTCTCAGTGTTTTTATGACTGCCACAATCAAGTAACAATTTCCAACATCCAAAGTGACAAACTCAAAGAATTTATTGCAGGTCTTCTTAGCTCTATAGGTCTTTACAGCATCTTTCAGATTGTTTTGGTTTGTCAGGTTTTTACGGCTCTCATCAACCTCCTCAACTTGCTGGTGAACTCAGTGAAACGTAGAGCAAACTAAAGGCCCAGTTAAGCTTGTCATGAGTTGGCGAAGACAAAACAGAGGTAAAAGTGAAGTAAATATTAGACTTACATTCATCTGGTGGCTGGAACATGACTTTAAATGAACGGTAGTGATGCTGGGCGTCTACTTTTGTCTTATATGTAGCCACATTAAACCACTAGGTCTCAACCCTGGTCTCATTTTGTTTACAGTATTTACACCGTTGTAATATACTAAACATGACAATAACATTGTGATGCTTCAAAATGCTACACACTGCTTGTCTAGCAGTACTCCTCTCCCTGTGGGTCGGGCAGGTCATTGAGGTCCAAGAAGATGGAGGTGTTGGAGAGTTTGCGGCCGTTGGACGACAGGTCCAGCAGCTCCTCGGCGGTGCTCGGCACCGAGCTGATGTACATGTCCCACACCTGCTCCGGAGAGTCCAGCTCCAACAGCTTCTGCTTGATCTTCAGGTTCTTCTCAATGTTCCTGCGCTTGTGCTTGAACTCCAGGATGGTTTTAGTGTAGCGGTTGATGGTGGTGACTGAGGAGGCCATGCAGGCTGTGAAGGAGCTCCACGCCAAACTAAAGGGAAAAGACACAGACAGTCTGAGCTGAGGACATTATTCGTTTTAATGTATCAACTTATTATATTAGAAAATGGATCATAATTATAAAGTAAGTAATAAATCTCCCTCTAAATACACTGAAAATGTGAACTGAAAATAAGTGCTTCTGAAAACAGGCTGTCTTCTTGCAGTATCTTGACATAACAATTACTTCATGTCCACATAAAAAGCTGTCACAGCCTTTTTGTCATGATCAAGTAATAGTTATTGTGTGACAGGGAAACAAAGGTCGTTGTGAGAATTAATCAGAAGACAAACAATACCTAAAGAATAACAAGAAATTCTTGTATTAAAACCATTAACTGATGAAAGAAAACACAGCATTTAAGACTGTTTTTCAGAGTTTAGATGAGGTCCACCCTCATATTTTCAGACAACAGGGAGCCTCTGACTTCTAAGCAAAACAGTCCCACATGAACAAAAAGAGCTTTCCAAGCTGGGAACAGAAAATGGGAGCGTATCTGTGCAGCCAGGCTCCAAAATGTGTTAGAAAACTTCCCCAGAAGAGTGAAGGCATGTTCAGCACAGTCTTCTTGGGTGGAATTCAGCAAATATGGTTAAATACTGTTTTATTATTCAAGTGTCTACATCCCTCTGACTGTGTCATGCATGTGTACGTTCATATGCAAT